AGCAGCCAGATCTGCAATAATTCACTAGCCTGGTCTAACCAAATTTGTCCACCTTTGTTTGAGGGGTTAAACTTGTTGATTGGAATCTCCAGGGAGAAGACCCAATCTTGTTTCTTACACAATGTCCTCTTTCCCACTCCAAATTGCCAGTCTTTTCTTTTTGCCTATATTCGTATGAAACCTATATATTCAAGTATTCCTATTCCCGAGCAATCTTGCAGTCTTTTCGCTGATAAGCTGTTCATATGGCATAGCTTCTGAGTTTGTTGTCTAGTTACTTATTTATTTTGGCCTGTTTCTTGCTATTGGATTGAAACTAAGAGCTGCATGTGTAGCACATATAAAAGGTTATTTATCCTTAAAACACAAACATGTGACACTCACATGGACTATGAACCTGATGAAGTATGTTGAAAACAAATAAGTCAGTAGTGAGCAGTTTGTTGGGTCTACAATCAGCCAGGTGCTTACTATAGCACCTCATTAGGAGTGGAGAGCAGAGAATGAATCAATAGGGAAGCAGGTGTCACTGATTTCCCAAACACATTTCCATTCTGGAGGAAAGCAGTGGGAGGTGCTTTCTGCTTTTAGTTTCTGCTTTTAGTTTGTGAGTGGTCTTCACCAGGAGGTTCCTCCCAGTGCTGCAGGTTCTTAAAGCTACATCCACCCAGCTAAGAAGGGCAGGCAAAGCTGTACTCACCCACTTCTGTGCTGTTCCAATTACTCCCTCATTTGTCTAACAACTAGTTATTGAGTGTCTGCCATATGGGCATAATCTCTATCCATATAGAACTTTAAAATAAAATGGAGGTGATGGAGAGTGAACAAATAAACAACTAACAATTGTAGATATTAATAAAAGTTGGCATGAAAATAAGTTCTCCAGGAAATGACATTTAAACAAAAATTAAATACAAGAAGGTTGAAATACTCCAGTATCAATATCTTCAGAGTGAAATGAATGATCTTTATACTTTTTCTACTTTAAGCTCAACACAGCAACCTGAGCACGGAGGACTAGATTAATCACTAACACAAGCATCTGTTGTGTGCAGAATGTTTATTAGGGAATGTGAGGGCACAAGTGCAGTTTGTAAATCTCTGAAGAAAATATATTTTGTAAATTATGCATTATTTGTGTACCATAGAGAAAATAAAGTGGTTAACCTGAGCTATGTCTATACATATCAAAAACTGATTAAAAAGTGAGAAGTTAACTCTATCAACTAATTGTATCAACAGTAATAAAGTGGTGATTTGGTACATTTGTTTTTCTACTGAATTTATAATTTAGTTTGATATTAAAAATAGCTTTCAGGCATATGCAACTTGTTATACAAAAGCTTTTTCTGTAAACAAAATATATTTTGCAATATGAGAGATTTAGCTTATACATAAAAAGAAGATTGAGGCAGTGATTACATACTCAGGTAGCTCCTTCTGGATTTTGATTTCCTTGCCTACTTTATAATTAGAGATAAGATGGGTGAAAAAAAGTACTTTTATAAGTGGAACTGTACTACCCAAGCTAAGGGAGATGGTAAAATGCTACATTACCCATTCCATATGAGATTATGAAACGTAGCTCTGCATGATAACCTAAAATATTAAAGTCTTTAAGAGAGAGTTGGGGGCAGAGGGAATATACACACCTTCTAGTTACAATTATCTCAATAACAATTAGCATTTTCCATATGGTGTAAAAAGAATAAAGAAAATAAAAATACCTTTTAAAAACTGAACACTTGGCCTGTTCTGAACTAATAAAACACTATTCTAGTATATATACCATTTATGCTTAATTTTGCCCATAAAAAAACAAACCTTCAGGGCAAGCAAGTCTGGTCCTCTCAGGGCAGTGACCTAAGGTCCACTCTGAGGTGGAAGAGAAGTGATGTGTACCACCTACACATCACTACATGATGTACCTACACATTACATGAGCAAAATTTGCTCATGTAATCCTTTGCGTTGGTGGTATTAAATGGTTATGTGTATCAAACAAATGCTGAAGTTATTGGTAGAAGATTAGTGAGGATGATTTGAGTTAGAAATGGGTAACAAAGGCAGGATTATTATCTCAGAAGACATTCCTGTGTTTCCTAGGAAGCAAGGCTCAAATCTGTTCTAATGGACAGTTCTTAACTTTTCTGGGAATAACACACCCCTTTGATAATCTGGCAAAAGCACTGAATGCACTCCCCAGAGAAATCCACGTAGGCATGTTCACTCAATTTTATACAACTTTAAGGGATTCACAGACTTCCATGAAGTCCCCTAAGGAGAATAACATCACCTACATTGCACATTAAAGACAATTGCCTAATATTAAAGCTGTAGATTAAATCAACTGCTCAAAGATAAACTTCAGTTACAGACAGGACTACAGTGGAGAGGACAGTATATGCTGGAGCATGTCAGTGATAAATGACAATTCAACAGGGTATAGCACAGTGATGGGATTCCTGAGCCAAGGTGGGTAAACACTGGCACCATTACAAACATCATTTCTACCAGGGATGCATTTAAGATGTTTGAGAAAGAACTCTGAACAATGAACTAACAACTGTAGAAAGCACACCAAATTTAAGAATTAATAACTTTCATTCTGGTTTTGGGAAGGGAAAGGAGGGAGCTGCTATGGTCTGAATGTTTGCATCTTCCCAAAGATATGGTATTAGGATATGGGGAAGTGAATAGGTCATGAGGACAGAGCCCTTTTAAATGGGATTAGTGTCCTTATAAAAATAGGCAGACAAGGCTCCCTTCTACCTCCCACCTTGTGAGGTTCCTAGCGAGGGGACAGCCATGTATGAGGAAGGGGGCCCTCACCAGGCATCTAATCTGCCAGCAAAATAAGTACCTTGAACTTCCCAGTGAAGTTTGTATAAATGGTTATATTCTTCCCAAATAAATAAGTGTTTGTGGTTTAGATTCCACCAGGTTATGGTATTTTTGCTATAGCAGCCACAGCCAAGACAGTAGCTAATTGTTGAGTGCCTACCAGAATGCAGCAAGTTTGCGAACTGATTCAGTAAGACTCCAAACATGACTTAGAAGCTACAAGTGTTTCACCTATGTTATAATGAGGAAACTATTGTTCAGAAGCATTAAGTAACTCACTCATGGCCACATGCTAAGTGGTGGACAAAGTCGCCCAGGTCTGGGCCAAAGTTGAAACCTCTCTGCCACACAGCGCTGCATTTTACAAGGCAAGGGGTTTTGGAACATTTTCCATACCTTCAGAAGGCCTGCTTTAGAAACACATTTCCAGCTTAAATTACGATGATAAAAGTAAAAAAATGTAGTTTATCTTTAAGTTTTGGAAGATAGCAAAGACCCTTAATATTAAAACTGCAATCTTAGAGAAATTGCTCAGCATAACTTTTGTCACTGATTTTTCAAATAAGAATTGAATCTGAGCAATATGGTTACATGAGGGTCTTATTATACTTAATACCTATTATGTACTTTTGCTGAACAACTATTTTGATGTCTTATTTTTTAGTGTATTTACCAAAGCTCATCTTTGGCCTTGCAATTACAGAAGACCTTTGGCCTTGCAATTACAGAAGGCCTTGAAGCAAAATAACCTTCATTACAAAACATAAATTTATCCAAATGCACGCGTGTACAGACATATGCAAATGATATTAAAATTAAAATGGATAAAATGCAAATATAAAACATTTGAAGAGTCTTCAAATTCATGTATGCTTATTAAACTTTCCAGACAACTAAAGTTAACTAGTTGGGTTCCTAAGAGGAAATCCTGCCACTGGTGAAAACGGTAAGATGTAAGGATACACTTGACGAGGCGTGAAGGATTATAACTTCTCCACTCTTCAGATGGCATAACCCCACCTGCCAGTGGAAACTAAGGCTGATTTGGATGAGGAGAAACACAAAACAATCACTGTACTCCTTTATTTTCTGAAGTTCCCTTAACCATATCTGCTACCCATCCAACAAACTGGATATATTAGATTTGGAACTGCTTGCCCATCATATGTTCCTTAATAATCCAATATTTGAATAAGATGAATTTTAAAATGTAAAATTTATAATTTTGCCTTTTTTCTTAATGGTGTCTAAGCTACTGAAATTCATCTATCTCTTCTAAATTCTAAATTATATCCATAATATCATGTTAGGTCAGATTCCTAAGCTTTCAAGAACAGATAGCCTAACATGAGTTTCAAATTTATAAAAATACAGCCCACAAACTGCAGAAGTGTCAGTGAGCTATGACAGACCTTTCTCGTTCAAAGCAAAACACTGTGCCAGACAAGTTTCATCGCATTTCATCACTACAAAAGCTACTTATTTCTAACACATATAAACAGGACATGATAAATACCTAAACTTAACTGAATTTCATTTTTTAAAATAGAGCTTTTCCAAGAAAATCAAAGTTGGATTCTATTTTTCTAAACAGTTTATAAACTACATTAAAACTTTTATGCTGATCAGGATTGGAAACATAGAAATGAAGATCTCAAGGAGGGTTAGCAACAGGGGAGTGGGAGGAGGAGAAGGGGAGAGAAGGTACAGAAAATAAGTAGCATAGACAGTAGATAGAAAATAGATGGGGGGGCAAGAATAGTATGGGAAATATAGAATCTAAAGGACTTGAGACACATGGTCATAAACTAAAGGGGAGGTAATGATGGGGACAGGGGGTAGGGTAGAGGGGAATGAAGGGGGGAATAGAACAACTGTAATGGCATAATCAATAAAAAAAATAAATTAAAAAAAAACTTTTATGCCTTGAAGGTGATACCCCTTGAAGTACAAAACTGTCCCTGTGTTTCTAATTCTGTCAGTTTTCACCCAGCGTTCCTGCTGTTGTTACACATGTCCAACAAAGGAGTGTTAGCAAGTTTGATATGTTCTTATTGGCGAAGAAATGTTTTGAGTATCATCAAGTATCTGAATACTGAGTGTTTCTGGCCCTGGACACTGAACTATACCTTACATGGTTTACAGGTGAAATAGGAACGTGTTGTTGGCACTCTGTGAGCTTAATGATTCCTAAGAACTTGCATAAAGTGAGCTAGGAGACAGAAACATGGCCTCATTGAGTGTACTGATTACATGCTGTGTGATCATTCTTGCTACGTCCCAGCCTTGTCAGAGCCCTGATGACTTTGTGGCTGCCACTGCTCCGGGGCATGTCATGATTGGAGGTCTGTTTGCCATTCATGATAAAATGCTGTCCTCAGAAGTCTATCCCAGACGACCAGACATCCGGAGGTGTGTTGGGTGAGTACAGCCTTAGAGAGCACAGTTAAATTTCCAACTATGTAAATGTGTACTTGTACTGACATCTAATTTGTTTTCATAAAATTTAAACTCTCATGTTTTCAAGTTGACGTAGTCTTGCTCTGCTCTGCTAAAAGAGAGATACAACAGTGGCGTATGCATAACTAACTTCCAAGTGCAGAAGCAATGAATGTTTTTATTAATATATTTATATGTATTTTACCCCCCCCAAATAATCCCTGAAGTCACTTGAGAAAACCAATAAGACATTATAGACTGTCCACAACACACATACTGACATGTTTGTGTTTCTATCACTCACAACATGTGTTTTATTTTAAACATGAATCTGTTATTTAATTCTTTGTTTAAAATGCACTACATTAAATGTTTTCTCTACGCTATCATTTTTGCCAGCCTCTTTATTTCCTTCTTGAGAAAAATCTAATTATTTTATGATACATTAAGGCCCTACCTCAACTCAAAGTGCTCCTTCCTCGAGAAACACTTTACATGCATGGTGGAAGTTGGACGACAGAAAAGACGTCAAGCACCGTGTAATATGGGGAAGGAAAGCTGGGTAGAAGAAACTACAGATGAATTTTCTTTAAAGAGAGCAGGATAGTTGAATTTGAATTTTAGTTTCAGGGCAAACTAATTATTTAGACTAAGGCAAATTGCTTAGACTCTCTGAGTTCCAAGTTCCAATGTTCTCATATGTAAAATAGGGGGCCGGAGAACCTCTAAGGGCGCAGGTGGCATCAGCCTTGGTAACTATGGCAGTGTGGCCCTGATGCTTCTTTTAACCTCTAACATTCTGATCTCTATCTTGATGCTTTTGTGTGTGAATTTTATCTCCTCTTTCCCCCTTTTTATCAAAAAGTACTTAATGTTTTATACCAACTATACTTAATTTTTTAAAAAAGTATTTACCAAGTCCTCTAAGAATGCTTTCAGATAAAATATGATCCTATATCACACTGAAGTTCTTTCCTGGCATTCTAGTCAAAAGTTGAGCATGTTGAACCACTGTTATCATAATTATTGATTATCAAGAATAGCAGGAAACAGCACTGGCCAGTGGGGCTCAGTTGGTTGGAACATCATCCCCATATACCAAAATGTTGGGGGTTCAATTTCTGTACAAGGCACATACCTAGGTAGGGGGTTTGATCCCCAGTCGGAGTCCATACAGGAGGAGGCAATCAATGTTTCTCACACTGATATTTCTCTCTCTCCCCTTTCCTCTCTCTTTAAAATCAACAAACATATTTTTAAAAATTAAAAAGAGAAGAATAGCAGGGGACATCCCAAAATAATTAATAAAGATTTTCAGAGCACTAAACTGGTACCCAAAGAATGACTACAGATTTGAGACCCACAGCTGTAGGCCAGTGATTAAGAATGGAAAACACTGAAGAATGATTTGATCTAATAAGCAAATGTATTCCAGAAAATAAATCATTAACTGGAACATCCTTTCACCTTATTGTCACTCCTGGAGAAAAATATTCATTCAACATTAAACAATTACCTGTGTCAACAAGGCCCAATTCCAGGCACTGGGGCCATTGAGGTGAATACACCAAAGAGTTTCTGTTGCTCATGGAACCAACATGTGGGGTGCTCTGAACACATTATGCATTTTAATAGGCAGACAATGCCTTCCTTTAACCTTCCTTCTTTGTGTATTTAAATTAAAACTTAATGCAAATTTGCTAAACTTCAAATTTAGGTAATTCACAATGATGAATAATATTATTCAAATAGTTATATTTAATTTATCATAACTCAGTGAATTAGAAGGAAACTGTAGAATAGGAAAACCTGAACAATAATATCTCCCTTTATTCATTTAAAGACATTATTGAACCTTTACTATGTTTTAGGCTGTGTTTGTAAACTTTTGTATATGGTGGTGGATGAAATAAACTTAACAGTAAATCAGTAATCAAACAACTCAGTGCTCTGGAATAGTCACAAATCTAGAAGTCAATCAGAAAACCCTTTGAAATAGGCAATAGCTATGTCTTGGAACTAAAACAGTCTACTGTATCTAGGAGAAGGCTCCTGGGACTTTATTCAGAGTCTGTTTGGTAAATTATCCTTAAGAGACATTAATCTGATTCCCAACTACAACAGATTAGAATCATAAAATGATAAGATAGCCTCTGAATCTACAAAGCAGGTACTTGGACAGCAATAAAATGCTGACATTTAACTTCAAAAAGAAAAAAAATCAAGCACATCTTCATACTGCAGAATATTAAATGGAGTGTTAAAAAAGTATCCCAAAATTCATTAAGACAAGGTTAAATCCTGTTCCACAGAATCCACTTGAGAAACTATGGGTTTTATATACTTTTTAGAAAGGTTTCCATCAAAAAAAATTTTTAATAAATAAGTTTAGACCCTTTAAGTGATTAGCTTCACTTTCTGATCCAGAAATTGTCTATTTCAAGGCAAAGATGTGGATAAAATGAGATATCGCCATGTCTGTAGAAAAGTTATATTCTGATTTCAAGAAATACTTGTTTCTCAACAGGTTTGAAATATCAGCTTTTCTCCAAATGCTTGCCATGATACACAGCATCGAGATGATCAATAATTCAACGTTATTACCTGGAGTCAAACTGGGGTACGAAATCTATGACACTTGTGCAGAAGTCACGGTGGCAATGGCAGCTGCTCTGAGGTTTCTTTCCAAGTTCAACTGTTCGAGAGAAATTGTGGAGCTTAAGTGTGACTATTCTAGCTACATACCAAGGGTTAAGGCTGTCATAGGGGCTGGGTACTCGGAAATAAGCATGGCTGTCTCCAGGATATTGAATTTACAGCTCATGCCACAGGTAGGTTTGTTCTACCTCCTTACGGTGGGTTTGTGAAAGGTCAGGGTAACCTGGTAAACTTGTTCGAAACTTGCTTTTACTTTCCTTTCTCTTCATTAAAAAATATGTTCTCTGTACAGATCAGATAGTGGACAAAGCGGTAAGGGGGATGTCATTTTTCAATCTGTCATGTCTAGTATGACAGACATGTTTTTAGCATGATTTGGACCAGACACAAACCTCTGAAGACCTCAACTGCCTTGTTTCTGAAATAACATCAGTCAGGTGCTATGAAGAAAACAGAAGGGAAAGTGAGAAGTAAGGGGAATGGAGGTCAAAGAAGAATTTTTTGAGGAGATGACATTTAGCTTGAAACTTGAATGAGAAGCAGCAGCCAAGGGCAGATGAAAGAGGCAAGGACAGTATGTAGACTGAAAAAAAGCATCCACTACATAGCTAGCGTGTCTAAAGAATAATAAAAAAGGTCTATGTGGCTAGATTAGCTGAGTAAAAATAAGCAGGGTAAGAGAGCATCTGTCGAGAAAGAGGCCAAGGCCGGTCATGTAGCATCTTGAAAGCTGTGGTGCGATTTGCATTTGTTCTGAGTGTGATGAGAAGGCATTGAGCAGACACTGTGGAACTACATATCTCTGTAATACAAGCCAATAACCAGAGAGTAAACGAAAGTGTCTCTAAAAAAACAAAATAAATTTTATTTTGTTACTGCAGTAAGTTCTTGCGCACTACTCAGAGTCAAGCAAGTCCACTTGACTTTAGTTTTGAGCTACTTACCTTCATGTCACATCACTTTGTAACCCAATAGGTCATTGTTTTCTAAGCTCAAGAAAGATTAGAAGCCAAATGTTAGAAAATAAAAGGGCTTAGAGTCAGATGTTCAAGAAATGACCAGTCTGATAGAAGTGAAACTAAGCATGCAAAAGAATTCAAAATATGTAACTTTCTGGAGCTAGTGTTAATAAGTGCCTATACCCATGAAAGAATCAGGAGTTCCATTGTGTTACAGCCTAATGAAGTTGATAACAAAAAGTTGAAATCCAAAATGATAAAACAAAAGAATATCTCAAAGATAAGACTTTGGCTCAAAATTTCCAGACAATATATAATACTAGTTAGGTGATAAGTAAGCTAAGTAGATTCTTTTGACAGTAATCGTTTAATGTAAAAATATAATTTCCATGATACACCACATGAAAGAAAAGGGGCACCCTTCAGGGTAAATCAATTTTCCAGAAGCCCAGCTCTCACAGCACAGGTGGGTATGGCGATGCCAGGTACTGAGAGGAGCTAAGGTTTAGTGAAGGTCTACCGTGGCTAATGTCCATTTAAATTCTCTCCTATAATCTTCATGAGAATCCTACCTAAGAAATGTTAACTAACTTCACCGAATTTACTTAAGTACAGAGTCTGACTCCAAAGCCTAATTTTTTCCACCTCACCCTGTGGATGCTCTAAATAGTGAAAATAATCTTAATTATTATTATTAGCATTCACCAAGCAAGTGACACAGAGCAATTGTAGCATAGAAGGTAATAATTGTCACTAGACTAAATTAGTGTCTGCATTATATAATATCCCCAGACAATTCAACTGCACATCAGTTTGAGATGCTCTCGTTGACAAGACCCTCCTGATGGATCCTTCACAAACCCCCCAGTCTCACCACCCCTACTTTCTCCAAAAGACTCTACCTGTAAATCAGGCAAACCTTGCACACATCAGGGAGATCTCCCCAAGTGCTGGTGTTTATTTGACTAGATCAAAGGTCCAAAACTATAGCCTGCAGTCTGAATGTGGCTTGCAATCTCTTAATATGTTGAGTTAAAAATGATTATTACATATACTTTAAATATTGCAACAAAAAAAGGAGAATATATGACAGAGTCCACATGTGACCAACAAAGCTGGAACTATTGTGTATCTGGTCCATTATAGAAAAAGTTTGCTGACTTCTGAACTGGATGAGTATATGGCTGAGTGATTCATTTCCTCTAAAATAAAAATCACCCAAGTTGTAAGTTAGACAAAATCTTGAACATACTAAGTGCTCCAAAATGCAATTTGCTTATTTGACTTATTGCATTTTTCCTGTATTTACCTCTAAGTATTTAAATAGTATCCACTCTTGGCTCTGACCTGTGATATAGCAGTGTACATAAAGAGATAAGAGAGAGCCTGAGCCCTCAAAAAGCTTGTCCTATACACAACATGGGGTAATTGGAGAGCGATGACTCTAAACAGCTACTAAATATCATGATTTAGGTTATGTGGGGTTCATTGAAAGGGAAGGATGAAAAGGACCAGAGAAATTTTAAAAGGTTATGAAAACTCACAGAAATCAAAGAGAGGAACACCTGCTATTTAGAGCCATCTGGAGCTCTTCAATCCAATAACTAAAAGACACTATCGATTTCCAGGTGAGTTACGAATCAACGGCAGAAATCCTAAGTGACAAAATTCGCTTTCCTTCATTTTTCCGGACGGTGCCCAGTGACTTCTATCAAACCAAAGCAATGGCCCACCTGATTCAGAAGTCTGGATGGAACTGGGTCGGCATCATAACCACAGACGATGACTATGGACGACTGGCTCTCGACACTTTTGCAATTCAGACCATGGCAAATAATGTGTGTATAGCCTTCGAAGAAGTCATCCCAGCCTTCCTCTCAGATGACACCATTGAAATCAGGATCAATCAGACACTTGAGAAAATCATAGCAGAAGCCCATGTCAATGTCATTGTGGTGTTTCTGGGGCAGGTCCATGTGTTCAATCTCTTCAGTAAAGCCATCAAAAGGAATGTAAACAAGGTCTGGATTGCTAGTGATAATTGGTCGACTGCTACCAAGATTACCACCATTCCTAATGTTAAAAGGATTGGCAAGGTTGTGGGGTTTTCCTTTAAAGATGGGAATATGTCCTCTTTCCAGTCCTTTGTTCAAAACCTGCATATGTTTCCCAGGAATCATAACAAACCCTTAAATGAATATGCCATACTCTTGTCTGCCTGTGCTCACGTCAGGGACAGTGATTTCAGTCAATGCATTTCCCACCACTCTCATGGGACTTTGGCCTACAACGCTCACAAGGATATAGATGGGAACTTCTCCCTGAGAAATGACATCCTGTGGGATTACACTGAGCCGGGACTTGTTCGCAGTATCCAGCTTGCCATGTTTGCCCTCGGGTATGCCCTTCGGGACCTGTGCCACGCTCGAGACTGCCAGCAGCCCAACGCCTTTCAACCATGGGAGGTACTAACTCATACCCCAAGAAAATTCCCCTACCATAATCTCTTCCATCTCTTTCCCTGGTTTAATTTGCAGAGCTACATGAACGGCTCTTAATATTCCTTTTATTAGGAGACATCTTCAGTGCTTGATAACCTGCTTTTCCACCATTAGCTTTTTGTTATTCAGGATAATAGAGCAGTTATTTTACCTGCACCTACTACTCTGACCCACCAAAGTTGTGTTTCTTTTTATTTCATAGAAAATTCTGTTGACAGTGCTATTTTCCTTGAGTTCATGGATTTGTATCTGATCCATACAGTTTTTTAAGGCTTCATTAAGAATTACCTCCTTCAATGCTCTTCACAAACACAAGATCAAGTATGCTTAATGATTCTTTTTATAATTGCTAAATATTATGGATGCAAAAACTAAGCTACGAAGTGCCAGAAAGGTGATTCTAGTCTGGATCTTCGCTCTCCACGCCCTTTCCTTTCCTTTCCACGGTGTCTCTGGTGGCTTGCACTCTCAAAGCCTCCAATGACTCTTATCTAGGGCGGTCACTCCAGGACTCCGGTCTTCTTCAAATGACTGTTTGCAGGTCACTCATAACAACTCCCATGATATCTTAATTCACTAATTTTGGGTAAAAGAAGACTTCCCTTTTTTCTCTTTGATTAGTTTGTACAAACTCAAAGCTTAAGGTGGCCCTATTTAGTGAAAATTTTCCATTGTGTTTTAAATGTCCCTTAACAAGTCATTTAAAAGCAAATTGCTGCTTTATATGATGATAAATTTTACTCATCAAGAACAAATTATTCAATAATGTGTATTCAAAGCTAAACTTATGTGCCTTGAGGCAGAATCATGTTCCAAAAACATACTTGTTTTAAATGTGTAAGGGAAAAGAAGGTGAAAGGTATTCAGTTCTTCTAATCTTACAAGTGGGAATCCAGAACAAGCTATTTCTACTTTTGTAATTTTTACCTTAACCACGTATAAACACAAGCTCCAAGGCCCGAGGTGATCAGCTTACATTTGTGCGGATCATGTGATGGTCATGGGGTGTTTTAGGTGGCTAATTTTAAAGCTGGTTTTCACCTTGGAAATGCAAAACACAAAATCTAATGAAGAGGTAAGATTAGAAATTAGGATCTTTTTAAAATTGCAACTCTCTTTTTAAATATATATGTACGTGCCTAGTAATTGTAAGATGTCTGTTTGAAAGCATACTTTTTGTAGTATAAGACTTTTAATAAGGGACTGGTAAAAACTATAAATTAAGTGGACACCATAATGAAACCACAACATAGAATTTTAGGAATGAGAGATTGAGAAAGAGCAATGGAGAGAAAATAGGCCACACAGAGACAGGTTAAATGGGAGGAGACAGAAAAAGCTTCGGAAGGAATTCAAAATACGAATAACAAGAGCTGTGTATCCCCTCAAAATCTGGGAAAGCACTTTCAATCAGGAATAAATCTCAAACATTCTGAGGAGAAGACTGGAGATAGTATAATGTAAACAGAGTCTACTAAAATGTTTTATTTAAACACTAGAAGCCCGGGGTCATCCTGTATGTTCCCGGGAGTCTGTTTATCTAGAAACAAACAAGAACGGTTTGGAAAGAAGCAAGAAGGGAGTGACTAGTTCTTTTCATCATGATGTGAGTGAGCTACATCTGTCCCATATTCAGTAGGACAGATAATGTGAATGATTTTACCTTTCTATGAGGGAATATCCATAGACCTTAAATTTAAAAGATCAGCAACATATAGAATCACCATCAAAGATATATTCCTAAAGATTGTTTTGTCCCCTGGCAAAATTGACTAATACTTAAAGGATAGTTCTGTATGATTTTAGATTCAAATAACTTTAGAGGATTTAGTTTTTCCCAATATTTGAAGATAATCCTTACTTTGGCTCCACCTGTAGTGATATTCATGAGCAGCATTCAGGGACAGCACGATCAGTGACTTTGGCTTTCTTTTTTATTTCCTTTTTTTGGTGATATACAAGGTAGTCAGTGAGTATGTGGGATGAGGATGTCTGACCGTCGAACTTCTGAAAGGCATTAAGTTAGCACATACTTGTTGGATGTCTCAAGGTTCCAGGCATTGTGCTGAATGCCAAAAATATTAAAGAAACGGAGACGATTTTATCCCTAAAGGACTCATCTGCCTAGTGAGGAGTACAATCGAACCCTGAGGCAGCTGACTACAATGCAGGGCGGTGCTCAATGACAATGTTACATATAAATACAAGATGGCGGAGAAGCACATAACCGAGGCATCTGATTCCGTGTTGGTCACTGAGAGAACTTTGCCAAAGATCATGACATCTCTGAAGAATGTGATGACTAGGTAGAAGTTAGCCAGGGCAGAAATGCTTCGGTAAAGTCTCAGAAGGGAGAGATAGCATGGTGTCTTAGGGAATCAGAAAATAGCACCATAAAACTGGAGTCTTTTGTGGAAAGTAGAGGCAAATGAGACTAGTGGGGGCAGGGGGATGTCCGTGAAGGATCCCTCAGGAGGGTTTGTCAATTAGACCATCTCCAACTTTGACATGCAGTTGACTTGTCTGGGAGTATTATTACAATGCAGATACTAATTCAGTAGTTCCAGGGGAGAAGTGAACATCTGTAGTTCTCACAAGCTCTTGGGTGCTACCAATACTGCTGGTACAGGGACCGCCCTTCCAATAAAAACATCTGCCACACATGTTTAGTTTTGGAGGTGCTAGAACCAAGGGGAGCCAATTAAAGATACTTTCAGACAGGAGCGTGATGTGACCTGCTTTCCATTATAGAAGCAGCATTCTCACTGCAGGGTGCATTGACAGAGGAACATAGGACTAAAGGGAGAGAGGCCAACTTGGCAATCCAGGCTAAGATAAGGATGCATCGTACTACAAGTAGGACAATGAGGATGGAAAGACATGCACAAGTGAGGCCAAACAGATTTACAAGTGTTAGGGAAAACAATACAATAATTAATAAATAATAATACAAGAATCAACTCTATGTTTCACAGACTCACAACTGTAAACCTACTTTTGCCCTGCCCTGTATTTGGCACATCCATATATTTAAGAGGAAGAAGGAAGAGGGCATTTGAAGTGAAACTGTATGTAAAGGATGACAGACAGAAGCAAAGGTGCCGCAAATCATTTAAAAATTTGAGCAACAGGTGCCATTTGTTGAGATGAAAACACAGTGAAAAGGGGAGGCCCAGGTGGAACAGGAAATAGTAAGCATTCCATTTTGAAAATGAAAAGCTTATGAGGCATCCTAGTGTAGCAATGGTTGTGGGATATTAGTCCAGAAGTCAGAAAAGACATGTTAAAAGAAGACTGTTTTTGGAGTGATTAGGCAAATGATAACTAAAAAAATTTAGGGCCATTTCTACTAGGCACAGACATACATCATTTGTAATTTTTATATTAGGACTCATATGCTTTATTCTCCATCTGAAAGACATGACAAGAGGAAGTGTTACTGGTGACTGAGACTTGCAATAGTTTAGAAATGGGGGGACCTCAGCAATAAGGGTCTGAACTGTGGTCACCCACAGAGTTAGTAGTGAAACTGTCCCAGCCTTTGTCCAGGGGTTCTTTCACTATACCACAGACAACTTCACAAAAGAAAAATAAAGACATAGGTTGGACATCAGAAGTACAAGGCGGTTTCCTCTGCTATTCTGTAAACTCCTCACAGAGATACTTCTTTTCACAAGCACAGCAGACTTGTGGAGACAGAGCGAACATCAGGGCAGTTGGACAAGTGGAAAACATCAACAGCACTGGCTTAGCCGGCGTGGCCTCCTGGGACATTGTTCTCAAAGACAGGTCATCATCACACAGAGATGAATTGGCTGATAATGAAAATGCAAATCCTACTCTCTAAACTTTTCCGTGCTGGTTTATAGAGAATTTCAGAGTCTCGATGAAAAATAAATAAACAATTGGTAGGAAAGGCATTTAATAGTTTAATAACTGGAGCCTTAATGCTTAAATTCTGCCTCAATGCAGAGCGAATGTTCTATCGTATTTAACTAGTAATGAATGCACTGTTTTATTTGCGTCCACCCCCTTTCCTGTAAGAACAAGCATCGAACTGCACTAGTTAATTTACATCCTCCAATGTTATCATTATTTACAGAACGTATATGTGTCAGAACTTCACCCTGTAAAACCTGATTAAATGCTGGAAAAAACAGGTGGCCATCATAGTTCAAACACAAGGGTGGAAAAGAACATGCTCCCTAAGAACTGAGTCACTGGGGCTTATGTGTGTGAATTGCTTAACCAGCAACAGGAGAAAAATCAACACAGAAGCAGAGGTGGAAACACAGACAGCAGGCCCTCACTTATCCTTATTTTCTATTCCCTCCATTTTTTTCTTCCATGAATTTGCTAGAAGAAGATTTGTTGTTGGTTAATTTCACCAGATTAGATCTAATATCCTCCTTCTTTAATGTAATGGTAATTAATTTACATTCGTTACACTAATTTACATTCATTACAAGAATATGAGGATGCATTATAATATCAATATACTTAGGGAGTTTACTAAAGTGACGTTTGGTGTTTGACATGACTTTCATAGCTAATATATTTACCTTAAAATATAACTTAACTTTCTTCTATTGACAAAAATATGGAGGAAAGAAACATTCATAAAAGATTAACTGAAAAGGAATAAAATAAGAATAATTCCATTAAAACAGAACAATTTTTACCTCATTTCATAGATTCTGCACCCAACAAAAGCCACAAGGCATCATAGACCTACACACTGAGTAGGTCTGGCATGTTCACAGAGGGTATTTACTTAGCCGTGACCATATATCAGGTGAATGGTGGAGACAGACTGGCAATCTATTTCCCTCCCTCCTCGTTCAGTGTTCTTCTTCTGCAGCACAAGCTCAGCATGGCTCCTTATTTGTCATAAAACAGTTCCCGTTTTAGCTGTATTGCATACAAGTGCTCACTGAACAAACTGGGTAATGAGACCAGTAATTTTGCATTGTGTTCCTGTCCTCTCAATTAAAAAAGACATTTTATGAATTAAATTCTAAATAGAGTTCAGAAGTCACTATGCTACGCATTCAATCACTGAAGCAGAAGTGAAAACCACTGGCGGGAATAAGATCCAGACCTCCCACAGGGGTAATATAGTATGGCTTTAGGGTGGTCAGTATTGTGTACACCCATCAACTAAACTTCTCTTATGGGAATGCTACTCAGTGCATGCCCAAGGGCAGGGTGTTGTTACTGGACTATCTCCCAGATTGGTATCTCTGTCCCTCAGCCTTCATTTGGGGGGCAGTGAGCAGGACAATGACTGGCTTGGGTTATCCATTCAGACTGGGCCAATGATGCAGGCCAACGGTGACTCTCGAAGGAAAAGATACAAATGATAATGGGACAAAAATACAATAAAAATGAACTATTAAGAAGGATGCATTTTCCTGCCCTTTACAGCTCCAATGAAACATAAGTGATTACTTTCGAGTCAGAAACAAAAAATAGTGAGAAGACTTTGAATTAATATATTGTTAGATGCAATGGAAAGACCACAAAATGAAAGTCTAGCTGTGTGTCCTCCGATTTCACCCTGTGGCTGAGGGTCCTCATATAAGACAACAGGAAGATGATCCCTACTCAACGTGCTTCACCAAGCTGTTATGGAATAAAAGGATATCACAGATTTGAGTATTACCAAGTACTATATGAATATCAGGTGACATTATTAGCTGACAGGCTCAAAGTATGTTTCTTTATTTGCACCATATCATCCCCATTCACTGATAACAAGCATTAACAGGTATGAAGATAGCCTTTATTAACACTTAATCTGGGCCAGGTACTGGGCTACATTCTGTACATTCAGAATTATATGTAATCCTCCCAATCACCCTACCAGGTATATTTCACTTTGTTTTGCAAATGGAGAAGCTGAGCTCTAGGGGCAAATTATAATTGTCAAGATCACACCACTAATGAAATATGGAACCATAATCAGAGCCTAGGCATTGCTCCAGAGGACTCATTCTGAAATTCTGCAGTGGGAAAATGAAGATGCTCAAGTTTCAATGACAGGGGTGAGAACAGCTACCTCCCATAAATATTAACTTGCTTTCTCAAATTCACAAAGCAAGACCTTGGCAGAAATGAGGCTAGAATTCTCAAATTGTTGCCAAGTACTTAAGAACCTTCACAAGTAGTTACCACACTCACTAATTCTGGATGTCTTTTTTCTCATTTTTAAGTGATAGTCCTTGTAAGGCAGTGTTATAGTTGATACAATGTACACACTTACAATATTTCTATTACTGTTTATTTCTACAATTATTTTTACAGTTACTCGATGTACTGAAAAATGTGACATTCACGGATGGAGGGGAGCTTTTTCATTTCGATGCCCATGGGGATATAAACACTGGATATGACGTTGTGCTCTGGAAGGAGATCAATGGCCACATGGCTATCACCAAGGTTGCACAATATGACCTGAAGCATGACGTCTTTACTGTCACAAACCAGGAAACAAAAAATGAGTTCAGGAATCTTAAGGTAATTCTGCTGTAAGTCGCTTTGTAGCATTCAAATTAATCAGTATCTCAACTGCAAAAGTCTTTGACCCCAACAGGACCTCTAGTAATCCTACTGCCTGTCCACTGCCCTCAACTTCCTTCATTAAATTCCACACTCCACCTATATGTTTTCTCCCTTGCACACACCCTCAATTTCCCTTGTCCCCTTCGCTCTCTCTTGGTCATTCTCATTTGATCAAAGCAAAATCCTTGTTAAAGTCTCTACGTAATCAATGTAGCTCCCACATAGCTGAACTTGGGCGGGGAACATCTTGCTGAGCGTTCTCACTTTAAATCCATGACCTCTAACCTCTAGCAGGCCTTAATGCTATTGGTCAATCAGACTATTACCCTAGTCCATTAATTTGCCCACCTACACACATGGCTATTTTACACTTTCTCTTCTGTTCTCTGACCCCGACACATCTTCCCCATCCTCATTTTCAGCTGACCTTGCTTCCTATTTCACTAACAAAACTGAAACAATCAGAGAAGAACTCCAGTGCTCCCCTGCCACCACCCCTGTGCCTGCGTCCCTGCCTTCCACCTGGCACTTCGAAGAGATTATCTGTGCTCCTAGCCAAGATCACCTCCTCCCATTGACCTCTGGATCCCAACCCCTCTCACTTACTCAAGGATATTGCTCTGGCAACTCTCCACTCTCCCCTCCATCCTCAGATATTTGCTTGTCTATGTTATCGACATGATGATATAAATATGCTCTTATTCCTCTCTTCTTAGAAAAAGGGAAGAAAATCCTTTTCTCCTTTTTGGTATCCTACTTCCCCCTCCACATGCTGCCCATTCCTCTATTTCCCTTTAAGACAAAGGGAATAAGTCCCTGAACTTTTTCACTCCTTGAAAAAGTTCAGCATATTCACTGGCCCCAATTTCTCTCCTCTCATAATTTTTCACTTCTTCCAATCCATCAAAACCCTTTCTGTCTAGTTCACCAATGTTAATAAATCCCCAAATCATCTTATTTACCAGCTAATGTGCTCCCCTCTTTGCGATGCTTCAGTGGCTTCCATGACACCACATTTTGACTTCCTTCCTGTCTCTGGCCACTGCTTCTCAGCCTGATTGGCTGGTTCCTCCTCATTCCCACTGCCTGTAAATATCAGTGTGCCCAGAGCTCAGATGCTCCTTTTTTATCCTCACTTTTTCTTAGTGATCTCATCCAGGATCATGGATTTAAACAATGTCATTATATAGAAGACAAATGACTCCCAGACTTTTACCTTCTAAGTTTCAATCCAAATAAATGCACAAGTGCCTAATGGATAGAATATCTACCTGGCTATCTAATAGTCACATACACAGATTTTCTCTAACACTGAGCTCCCACAAGTACCCCATCTCAATAAATGACCACTACCTTCTAGTTGCTCATGGAAAAATCTGGTGCAATCCTTGTCACTTCTCTTTGTGTTATTTTTCAAATCTAATCAAAGTTTTACTTTCAAATGGGTCCAGAATCTGACACTTTTTGGCCTCTACTTGGCTGCCACCACTCCGACTCCAAGCTACTATCACCTGACACCCAGACAAAGCCAATAGGTTTCTAACTGCTTTCTGCTTCCACTCTTACCCGCCTCAGTGTGTTCTTAAAACAGCAACCAGAGCGATCCTGTAAAATATAACATTCTGCTCAGAACCCCCCATACACCCTATTTCTCTCAGTAAAAGGCAATGCCTTTCAAATACCTTACTTAACTGCCACCGTACCTCCCCACCTGGTCTCCTACTCCCTTCCCTCACTCTCGTCCCTTCCTACAACCCCACGGCCTTTCTCTCTCTTGCACGCACACCTTCCCTTCTTCCAGCTCAAGGCCTTCACCTGCTGTTTCCTTGCCTGTCTATGTGGTTTGCTTTCTCACTTCCTTTCCTAAAGTGTCACTATCTCAGGGAGTCCATCCTTCGTCACCTTGTTTAAAATTGCAGTGTCAACCTAATACTTCTTAAACATCCTCCTGTCTTTCTTTTTCTTCTTAACACTTATCACTGTCTAGCATTCTACATATTTTGCTTATTTTTGTCACATTCATTGTCACTTTTGTCAACTAGAACTGAAGGTCTATGAGAACATGGATTTTTGTGTTTTAAACCCTGCGGTGGTTTCAGCAATCACAACAGCGCCTGGCATATAACAGGAGACCAAAAAATACTGTTGGATGAGAGAGTAAATGTAGTAATGCTTCAAGCCACTGTCCTTGTTCTAATTTACCTTCTGACGTTTCAGTAAAGCAAAGGACTGTTTTTCTTGAAAGATAAAAATGCATTTGTCTTTCTATTACCAAGATTTATCTTCAGACTTTTTAGGAGAGATACTCAGTGAGGGGGGAGGTGATACAAGGACAAATAACTGATTGTTGTCTTTAGTGACTAAATGGAAGGGGACGACCACCATGAAAAGAGAGAGAGACAAGTTCGCCTTCCTGATGGAAGCGTCGTGAATATCTCGAGAAGGTAGTAGAAACTAGTAATACCTGAGATCAGTTAGGTAAGATTTCAAGATCCCTTTGTCAATATGCAGGCTAACTGGACTAATAGCATTTCTGTGGAGTCCTCAAAACTCGTAGTCCAACTAATCAGATAATCCTGAATCTATTGACTTCCCAAAGTTATCAATACTTTAGAATGCCTTTGCTGTCCCTTATGTGGGGAGATACAAGCAACTGTGTTACTGGGAAGAAAGGTTTCACTTTGGTCCCTGTAATGCGGTCCAGCTCATCTCGGTGTCAAACCCTTTGGTGCTCTCGGAGCGTCCTCCGGGAGTGTGGGCACTTCAGGTTCAACGCTGGCCCTGCGGAACCCACAAGGCAGTTTTACTGTCTGCGGTATTTTCTATTTTTACACTGGTTCACAATTCTTCAGATGACAAACAATTGTATTACACTATTTTTTAAAAATACCAAAATCTATGTAGTAAATACGTCTTTAAATTAAGTCAGAGTTAGTTAGAATGAGTCTTTTCAAAATGTATTTGAATTTCTTTTCACTTTGCAGCGAATTCAATCCAAATGTTCTAAGGAATGCAGTCCTGGACAAATGAAGAAAACCACAAAAAGTCAACATACCTGCTGCTATGAATGTGTGAACTGTCCCGAAAACCACTACACTAATCAGACGGGTAATTATAGTCCCTACGACATGTACAGCGATACACCTGGACCGTCGCTCTCGAGTTGATTTTTTCTTTTACGTGAATTTTATTTTGGATTATTTTTTCATTTGCAGGGGGAAAAAGCATCTCATGCTACTCCTAGATTAAATTCCAGTGAAATTTTATTTTATCTTGGAATTTTTTTCCATTATATTAGCAGACTTGCAAACAATGTATAATAGAGATATGAACGTAACTTCTCTTCCAAGGGAAAATGTCATCCGTCAGCTGGATTCCTCTCCAGTGGTTCTTAAAACAGTGGCTGTACTCTGTCAGTTGTTAGCCATGAATCTCTCTCTCTCTCTCTCACACAAACACACACGCCTGACGTGCAGTTGGGGCACAATAACTATAAATGCATACGTGCTGAGCTACCTAAACTGAGTGTGCTAGAAATCTCTGTTTGCACAGAGGTTTACATACCCTGGAGATCTCATTATCCCTACCAAGAGGCAAAAGTGAAGCCTAAAAAAGAACTTTCTATGAGACAAGGGGATGAACTGTTGACAGAGATGAGATGCTACTAACTGATGTTTGCCGAACCTGTTAACCATTTGACAAATCAGAGCAAAATACACAAATTTGAGAATAGAGTGAGGTCAGCAGCCTTCAGAACCCTAAAAGGGGCTATCAGCACTTTCTCTGGAGTTAAGCCTACTTTAAAAACATCATATTCCTGTTATGGTAGCATTGCTATTCACTGTATAAACGCTGAGAACCCCAGAGCCAGAATAGCTCCCAAATGCTTATTCTTTTTTTTTTCTTATTGGCTCCAAAGGGAAGAGTATCCCAAAGTAAATATTCCAATACCCATATTCTGTCATTGTTTTACAATGCCATTAACTCCAAACTGAAATGGGCTTTGCTCCGTAAATAATTAGGTAATGAGATTGCGGGGTGGGAGTTCCAGGCAATATGGTATCTAGCAACTCTCTGCCAAGTGGGATGAATAAAAATACCAAGAGAGTATGTAGCATTTATTTTCCATAAAGATGTACCAGAGTTTTTCAAGATAAAACTTAGGCTGTCTTTTCATACCCAGGGCAAATTGCTTCCAAGAACAAGTACAAAAGACTGACCACGAATTTGGAGGAAAATCAAGGATTTAGGCTAATCTAGAGCGTAGCATCTATTCCTTTAGACATCTCCAGTGCACAGCTGGCCACAGACAAGGCCAATAAATATTCGCTGAATGAATAAAATGGAGGACTCTAGCATCAGTGGTTAAGGAAAGACAGGGAAGAATGGATATTTGCAGGGAAATTGATTTGGAAGAGGAGGAGGCTGGAAGGAAATGAAGTTTATAAACAGAAACACAAGCTGACTTTGAGTTAAGGAGGAAGAAACGTAGGCACTGTATGACGCTTTTTGGAAGTAGCTGGGACCCTGTCACCAGAGGGTGGAGGCGGAGAGCAAATGCAATCACTCTGATATCCACTGGCTGGGAAGCACCTGCAATCAGTCTGGGCATAAATCATCCCCAACCTTATCACTGCTTGTGTGAGAGGCTCAAGGTTCCTTACCTCCTGGGGGGAAAATAAACTGTAATTCTTATCAGCTGTCATTGATGACAATCTCATGTTCTCTCTCTTTCAGAGGGCTTTAGGGTGACCCAGCCATAGTGTCTGTGCTTTAAAAGAACTGCAACCTTATTTACAACAGCAGCTCCCACCACAGTGAGTGTTTGCTCTATGGCAGGCACCACACAAAGCATTTTATAGTTATTATCTCACCAAATTCAGCACCCCAATGAGGCAGAGTCTTTTTTTTTAAAGAGAATTGGAAAAAGGCCTAGGACATTCAATTAACTTGTTTGAGATCACAGGAATTATGTGATAGAAGAAGTTGAGATCTGTCTGATTCTAAAGCCTTTATGTTTAACAGCCCCTGAACCGCCAGCTATTGACAGCAAGTTCACAGTAGACTAACATCTAACTTGAGTATATTAATTTCCTAAAGACTCACAGCCTAGCTGGCTTTTTTTCCCTTTCTCTTTTTTACTCTCCTTCTCTTCATTTTTCCTCACCTTCATCCTTTCTCACTTTCTTTGGGTCCTGTGCATGCTTTATTTGAATAAGTAACCATTGTGACAATTATCTATAGCCATTTTCAAGTTAGAACTATTGCTTAGGAAGATTCTATTTATAGCATTCTGGAAAACTGCCTAGTTTAAATGTCTGTGATGTAACCGAATCTCCTCTGTCTTTTAGACATGGATCGCTGCCTTTCATGTAACAATGAAACTCACTGGGCCCCTGTAAAGAGCACGACGTGCTTTGAAAAGGAAGTGGAATATCTCAACTGGAATGACTCCTTGGCTATCCTGCTCCTGACCCTCTCCCTACTGGGAATCGTGTTTGTTCTGGCTGTTGGCATAATATTTACAAGAAACCTGAATACACCCGTTGTGAAATCATCCGGGGGATTAATGGTCTGCTACGTGATCCTTCTCTGTCATTTCCTCAACTTTGCCAGTACAGGCTTCTTCATTGGAGAACCTCAAGACTTCACATGTAAAACCCGGCAGACACTATTTGGCATGAGCTTTACTCTCTGCATCTCCTGCATTTTGACAAAGTCCCTGAAAATTCTGCTAGCCTTCAGCTTCGATCCCAAGTTACAGAACTTCCTGAAGTGCATCTATAAGCCAGTCCCCATCATCTTCATTTGCACAGGTGTCCAGGGTGTCATTTGCACACTCTGGCTAATCTTTGCAGCCCCTGCTGTGGAAGAAAACATGTCCTTGCCCAGAGTCATTATCCTGGAATGTGGGGAGGGGTCCCTCCTTGCCTTTGGCACCATGCTGGGCTATATTGCCATCCTGGCCTTCATTTGCTTCATATTTGCCTACAAAGGCAGGAAATTACCTGAGAATTACAATGAAGCCAAATTCATAACATTTGGCATGCTCATTTACTTCATAGCTTGGATCCCATTCATCCCCGTATACGCTACTACATTTGGCAAGTATCTGCCAGCTGTGGAGCTTATCGTTATTTTAATATCTAACTATGGGATCCTATGTTGCACATTCTTCCCCAAATGTTATGTTATCCTTTGTAAGCAAAATACTAACACAAAATCTGCCTTTCTCAAGATGATTTATAGCTATTCTTCCCACAGTGCAGACAGTGTTGCCATGAGTCATGTTTCACTGGTTTCCACTAACAGCAACATCACCACGGCCACTCCCAGCTCTGGTGGCCAGCCTGCAGCCTGGCAGAAAAGCAAAGATCTTCAGATACCATCATGTGCACACACATGCAAGGAAAATGCTACAAGTGCATCTAAAACTTGGCCCCGAAGAAGAACTTCAAGTATATGAATGCGTCCTTAAGAGATGGCATGTTCCAGCATAAAATGTTTCTAGGGTCTCTGTATTTAAGATGTACATTTACTTTCCAAGCAAGCATGTTCTATGTGTTTCTTCACTGTCAGCATTTTCACCAACATTTTGTTGAATACTCCCCCTCTGTCCAACCATCCGTTTAGCAAAGAAAGTAGATTCCTCAACCCGAACCTTGCTTCATTGCCTCTTATGACTTCCATCTGCCTCTGTCTTGACCTCCTTTCTCACAGGCACATAGTTAAAGGTATCTCTCCCCTAGTCAAAATCAGCCCATGATGTAGCATCCTTATCTCTTCCCCACCAGTTCTTTCAAACCTCTTTGTTGGGTCCTCTCCTTGTCTCCTGAGAACCTTTACTTTCCCATCTCCACTGCCCAGTCCAGCTGCAGAAGCCTTTGGGCAACTACCTTGTGCCAGGGGATACTAAATGCAAAGGAACAGAAGGATCAAGGCATCATTTCTGACTCCCAGGAGCTCAAAATCCAGGGGAAGACTGTCACATACAGACATGCACAACTCAGTATGGGAATTCTATGATTGTAATCTGTATGGGACATTCTAACCATATAGTGAAGGCACTTAGCCACCCTGGTCAATGATGAAAGCCACATAGAGGATGTGATGTTTAGCTGAAATCCTGAAAGATGAATAAGAGTTAGCTAATCAAAGCATGTACATAAAGCTGTTCCAGATAAAGAGGGCCAGCAGGAGCAGCCACAGAAAGTATGTTGAGGGAAGTGCAGTTATTTTGGTATTACTAGAGAGGAGTCCTCTTTCGCATGCAGAGGCCAAGGTCACGAATGAGTGCCAAAGACTGGAGTCTTCTTATAAGGAGCTTAGGTCTTCATCATATGGCTAGAAGGTGGCCATCAAAGTTTCTGGCAGAAAGATGACAAGTGCAATGCTTTATTTTAGGAAGATGACTCTGAGACAGGGTAGAGGATAGAGCCAAGCTGAGAGAAGACTAGGATCTATACCAGGAAGAGAAAAGAGAAAATGTATATGTAATCAAACTGTATAGAAGATGATAATATATTTGAAATAGCTGGTGAAGGATGAAGTATAGGCTTCTAGTCCGGCTTGTTGAAGGGTGCCATCGAATAAAATCAGTGTTTAGAAGGACAGCGTCATTGTTGACTTGTGACCCATTAGTTCTGAAGCCACTGAAATCTGGTTCCTAGTTACATCACTCTGCTGAAATTGTTACAGAAAAGTTACCTGTGACTTTTTACTGTCAAATTCAATGATCATTAATGACATCTGTGGTATAATTTATCCTTAATTTTTTCTTCGTTCTCATTATATTTTAAAGTTTTCAGTTATCAAAACTCTTCAATCTGATGTAAAGGCTCTTTTGGCCCTACTCTGACATCCCTGACCACTTAGTTCTGGCCTGTGCTGCTGGTATGTCCTCCTTCACCTGACTCTTAAATGTGGGTCTTCCACAGAGTTCCAGCCTCAATTTAAACATCTTTTCTGTCAATACACTCTCTCACTACATTATTATCCAACTTCAGGTCTTAACTATGACCCAGACCTCCCAAAACCACACGGTCCAGGTCACTCTCTAACCATCCCACCTGCTTGTCCCTCTAACACTTCAAAGGCAGTATGTCTAAAATTCAATTCATTCTTCTTCTCCCAGCTCCTGCTCCTCCTGTTTTCCATTTTTCGGAATGCTGTATCACCTCTGGACTAAGCAGAACCTGGGAATTCATCCTATCCATCCTTGATGCCACTCTATGCTGTACTCTTGTACATCAGCTGTTTTTTATTTTCTAACTCCCGCACTTCCCCACACCCTTGCCGTGATCCTTATCCCTCTCACTGCTTCCTTAACCCAGGCATGCATCAAGTCTTTCACAGACTGTGCGATAGCCTTCTAATTTGACTCTGCTCTCCCGATGTTTCATCCCAAACTACAGAAGTTTTCACTAAACCTTCTACTCATTTCCACTAGATATGTTTATATAACTTAAACACCTCTTTGCATTACTCAGTTGTTTTAAGACCTGCAAGGAGTCCTAATTTACTGCTTAGTCTAAATGTATTCACGTACAATATGGTGGTAATCTCTCATTCGGTGATTAAGGGTATAGTATATTCTGATGTACAGGAACATGGTAAGAAATGAGTGGTCTGTTTGTGATTTTACTGACTCATTGCTCTGTTGATGCCAAAACAGTTTCTCCTATTGACATGAGAGCAAAGCTGCAGGAGAGCTTCCAGATTCTTGAGTGTGATCATGCACTGTTGTGCCAATAGAACAATAAAGGAAATATTGTTTCATAAGAGTTGTCAGTTTTACTACAATTAGATAGCTCTCAATAATTATTCCAGAAAAAAATGCTACTCAACATAAGAAATTAAGTTCTGAGTTCCATGAAGCAAAAACTGTATCCATTCCATCACATGAATCACACAGCTAAGAAAATGACTGTTGTACTTTAATTTTTCTGTTAACTTTTGAGGCTTTTAAAATCAATCGGATTTTAGTTAAATGATTTACTTACTCTTTTTAGAATAAAAGGTTTCCTTTCTTATTACAAAGGCAATACCTAAATATTTTTAAGAAGTAAGAAAACAAAACTAAGCAAAAAGAACACACATAAAAGGACCCAAACTGTATAACCAACCAACAATCCTCGATGATGTTACTGGTCAACTCTTTGTGGACAAAGAGTTGTCTTTATCAAGTCCAAATCACTGTTCAGCCAGAAACTTTCCCATTGCTCCAGACAAAGAGAGCTGGGGGGACAGGGAGGCATCTAGAGTTCTATAATAGATTGACTCATACAGAGTTACCCTCTGGCCCTGCTTGCAGAAACACACATACAAAACTATTTTATTGTTCAAATGCAGGGGTCAGGAAATACTGCACATTGTACCACACACAGCCTGTACTGGCAGAACGAAATCAGAAGCTACTCAGTCCAAGCTGTGAGGACCTCAGAGCAAAGTCCAAGTGAAATAGTTATCTGTACACTCTAGGTTTTAAAACGTCCACCCCCACGACCTGGCAGGTGTGGCTTACCTAGTTGACTGTGGTCCCATAGACCAAGAGGTCGTTGGTTCAATTTCCAGTTAGGGCACATACCCAGACTTCCAGTTCAATCCCCGGTTGGGGCCATGTATGAAAAGGCAGCCAATGGATGTTTCTCTCCCGCATTGATGTCCCCCCCTTCTCTGCTCTCTAAAAGTAATGAAAAAATGCCCTTGTGTGAGAATTTAAAATTTTTTAAAAAAATCAGAAGCCCATTCCCCCTAAATTCATATTTAAAATAATGTTGAATGAGTAAGTTAAATATTCTCACAAATATTCTTTTTTCTTAATAAAATATATTTATATTTTATTTGTTTTTTTAAATTATTTTATTGTTATTCAATTACAGTTGTCTGCATTTGTTCCCCACCACTCCACCCCAGCCAAACCCACCTCCCTCTCTTGCTTCCACCCTCCCCCTTGGTTTTGTCCATATGTCCTTTACAGTAGCTCCTGAAAATCTCACAAATATTCTTGATATCTTGGTCAGCACAATAATTCAGTGATTTTTACCTTTCCTTCTAATGCCTGAGTGTCCACAGCTCCTGGGCTGTCTTTAAACCAAAACTTCAGGCAGGACCTCATTGCCATTGCCAGCAAAGTAAGATGCACACCTGGTTAGAGCAGCAAAAATTAACTCAAAATTGGGGTTGGAAAGATGTCTAGTCACTGGATCCTACACCTGAAACTAATATGCCTCTGTAAACTACAGTAGAAAAAAATTTTAATATTTAAAGTTAAAAAATGGAGACAAAACATATGACTAGTTAAACATGAAAATGATTGGGATGTTAAAAGCAAAGGAGTATGCTCTTGTGGCTGACTGCCAACAGCGATCGAGGCTCAACTCAGCCCACAGGATGGGTGCACCTTGAATATCCAGATTGGGTGATAGGGAAGGCTGTTCCACTGGACTCTACAACACCTACCACATTAAGCCACATTATCAAGACAGGAAGTCATAGAAGCTCTATCTAATACATAGAAACAAACACAGGAAGACTGCCAAAATGAGGAGATAAAAACACATGGCCCAAAGGAAAGAACAGATGAAAATTCCAGAAAAAGAACTAAACAAAAAGGAGATAAGCAATCTACAACACTGGTTATAGGATTCTCAAGGAACTTAGGGAGGACCTCAACAGCATAAAAATATACATTCAGAAACAAAGGATACACTAATTGAAATAAAGAACAATTTATAGGGAAACAACAGTACAGTGGATAAGCCAAAAATCAAATCAATGATTTAAAATGTAAAGGAGCAAAAACACCTAGTCAGAACAGTAAGAAGAAAAAAGAATCCAAAAAATGAGGATAGTGTAAGCAGCCTCTGGGATAACATCAAGCATTATAACACTTGCGTCATAGGAGTAGCAGAAGGAGAAGAAAAAGAGCAAGAAATTGGAAATCTATTTGAAAAAATAATGAAAGAAAACTTCCTAATTTGGTGAAGGAAATAGACATGCAAGTCCAAAAAGCACAGACAGTCCCAAACAAGATATATATAAAGAGGCCCACTCCAAGACACATCATACTTAAAATGTTGAAGGTTAAAGATAAAGAGAGAATCTGAAAAGCAGTAAGAGAAAAGAAGTTAGTTATCTACACGGGAGTTCCCAAAAGACTGTCAGCTGATTTCTCAAAAGAAACTTTGCAAGCTGAAGGTGACTGGCAAGAAACATCCAGTGTCACGAAAAGCAGGGACCTACAGCCAAGATTGCTCTACACAGGAAAGCTATCATTTAGAATTGAAGGGCAGATAAAGAGCTTCCAAGACAAGAGAAAACTCAAGGAGTTCATCATCACCAAACCATTATTATATGAAATGTTAAAGGGACTTCTTTAAGAAAAAGATCAAAACTATGAACAATAAAATGGTACTAAATACATATCTATCAACAATTGAATCTCAAAAATAAACTAAGCAAACAAGAAGAGCAGAGACAGAATCATGGATATGGAGAGCATTTTGATGGTTGCCAGATAGGAGGGGGCTGTGGGGGAATGGGTGAAGAGGTGAGGGGATTAGCAAGTACAAATAGGTAGTTACAGAATAGCCATGGGGATGTAAAGTGCAATAGAGGAAAGGGAGAAGCCAAAGAACTTACATGCATGACCCACAGATATGAACAAAGGTGCAGGGATTGCCTGAGGGAATGGGGGGTGTTGAGTATGAAGGGGAAAAACTGGGACAACTATAATAGAATAATCAATAAATTATACATAAAAAAGATATTAAGTGAATTTTATTTAATATATAATAAAATTCTTAAAATAAATATTTTTAAAACAAATATGTAATGGAACAAGGCAGATAACTAAATAAAGTCCAGGAATAGTGGCTGCTCTTGTACTAAATTCAGTTCTGGGCATTCAGTCAAAAGAAGCGGACACCACCACCCTCAACAGGCACGACCATCGGTGATGTTGAAAAAGTTATAGTCTAGGAGGCTTGTTTTCTGGTCTCAGCTTGTAACCAAGACCAGATATTTGCTATGTAACCTTACAAGTCCCCCCATCCCTCCTTACAATTCTTTGAAGAACTGTCCACTCTATGGGCCACTTGGAGGGATTGTCAGTCCTGGAGGACCACAGTGGTGGAACAGTGACTCTGACTGAGCCAAAGAATTCACCTGAGTCCTTTCTGTCCTTGGAGGGAGGCAGAAACATTCTCCCAGATTTTAATTGGTGAATGATAAGGTTCTGGTCATCACCTTTCTTGTTACATGAAGACATTTGCTTGAAACAGAAGAAAGTGAGTTCAAAATGAAGAGTGAAGTAAAGCCAAGTAAAGAAAAGGAGGAAGAGAGGAAAAGAAAAGGGGGGAGAGAAAAGGAAGGGAAACGAAAGAAAAAGGAAAGGAAGAGAGTGATTTGAGCATCTTGATTCAGCAGAGCTGAAAGCTGAACTGTTTTTAAACTATTGCTAATGAGAGACAATGCATTTTTTTCCTTCACCATATTTTCTCAGATTTCTATTTTTTAAATGAAAAAATTATGATTAAAACATTTGTGCTTCACACCATTGGTTACATTTTTCCATTCATAAAATGAAAAGGAATGAAATAAATTTATTTCAAAATTTCCTTTCAAGTCTAAAGTTCCATAGTTTTCCCAAAGTTTACATAGTTTAAGCTCCATTAATTGTGTGAACTTCTGGACAGGGGTATTATTTGACTTATTTTGGTACCCCAAATTCCTGGCGGTTAGTAGGCTTTCAATAACTATTTCTTTTAGTCAACTGAAAAAAACAGGCTGGCCATTCTCAAACATATCCTTTTATAAAGCATTTACCATTCTCATTTTTGTTTGCTTATTTCCTTCCGTGTTCGTAATAAAGCAGTGTCAGACATGAGCTCACAGGTTTCCCTTTTCTGGGAAGGGAGCTAAATAATGTAGTTAAATCACTGAATGTGTTTAATCACCAACTGAGAAATATGCGTTGTACTATAAATTTGACTCCATGGAAAATACAACATTCCAAAAGTTACTTATTATTGACATAATCCAAGCTAGAGAAAAAATATTACTATATTTTATGTACATTATAATATAATAAACTATTAATTATGCAATCATTCTATCGTAATAAACTTTAAGATTTAATATTTCTTGCCTTCTGTCTATAGAAAAAAATGTGAAAGAATTTATTGGATCTGTACATTTTTTAAAAGGATAAGCCAACTTTTGGAACTTTAGGTCATACTTCTGTTAATGTCTGTACTTTCTTTTTTTTTCAAGTATCTTACCCATCCCCCCAAATATATATATATATATTTGTCAATTAAAAATATATTTTTTTAATTAATTTAACTATATATATATAGTTTAATTGACCCTGCAGGTTGGGCAAGAAAATAACAAGTCACTTTGCTAAGCACATAAGAGTCCTTTCCTTGTTCTCCTCTAAGAGAGTACGCACAGTGTGCCGGAGCTAACTCTTAGAACCCGGTGTGCAACCCACCCAGAATGAGTTTAGCAGTGCCCTAAATCACTGCTTGTAATGAAGGTGTATGGAAAGCTGAGGAAATACAAGTTACTAGTTAGATGGACAACCAAGGCTTCCCATGGTGATGGAGAGAAGAAAACTTAACTATCCTATTTCCACTGGGTGTGGGTGACAAGAATTTCTGTATAAAAGCAATGATTGTTCAATAATTTTTGGTATTCATATAATGT